AACACCACAGCATCTCCCACCATGTGGAATGAGGGAAACCTGGATCCTCCTGAGAGGGCCACTGTGTACATTTTATTCTACATTAGGGACTCTATCCAGGGACAGTTACCCTTGGGGAAATCTTAGGTAGACACCTATACCTGCCAGGGGTGGGTCACTGGCTCCTCTAAAGGTCTCCTCCCTAAAAAATCCTTTCATAGCCCTTCAGACTTCCAGAAGAGACCTCCAGAGTAACATGGAGACAGCCACACTTACCCTAAAGTCAGCAGCAGAAAGGCCTTGTGAGGGTGGCATCTTTGCCCACAGACAGACCTTCCTGTAGTTCTCTAGCCCTAACCCCAGGTGGACAGGTTTGCTGGTCTTGCCCAAGACAGACTGCTCTGTGCAGTCAGACCCAGCACAGACCCAATTTGGTGCATACCCTATAGAGTGGTAGAGTCTTCTGGCCAGTTATCAGACTGACCAAAATAAGCCAGGACTCACTCTTAGACTGGGGCCTAGTTCTTACCTAGTTCTTCCTTCAATTAATTCCCCGCTCTTGAGGGCTCAGATCTACTCTAGCTTCGTGGGTGTTTTCTAGAACACACAGTGAGAGCAAGGGTCATACAGGTATTGAGGCAGATGTAAAGGACCAGGGTGGCTCCCTAGACGCTGCCACTTGTGACCAGGTCTCCCTGGACTCCCTACTTTGCAGGAAGCGGGAGAACAGCCTTCAAGAGGACAGGGGCAGCTTTGTCACTACACCCACAGCAGAGCTGTCTAGCCAGGAGGAGACACTGCTGGGCAGCCTTCTGGACTGGAGCCTGGACTGCTGCTCTGGCTATGAGGGAGACCAGGAGAGCGAAGGAGAGAAGGAGGGAGACGGTGAGTGGTGGAGGGGTGGGTCATGCAGATGGCATGTGATCTGAGGGCCACCTGGCACTGTGCTGAGGAGAGAAGCAAATGGACCTGACACCCTGGGGTTAAGGGTTTTCAGCACCCCACAGAGGGAGAGGATGAAGGGCCTCACTTAAACAGACCTGTGTCTGGAGTTCTGCTGTATAGAACGCTGAATGTGCCACATGTGTGTAAACTGCAGGAGATCCTGTCCCTCGTCTTCTGGCCAGGACTTAGACAAATTTCAGCTGCTTTTCCAATTGCTTGCTTTTATGCCCACTCAGATAAGCGAGGTAGGTGACCTTTGCTGCCCTTAAAGTGGTTGGGGCAATCCTTCCCAGCTTGAGAGAAGCAAGGTCACTCATGGCTCTCACCTAAGTAATATCTGGGCCACCCAGTTCTGGGCAGGTGTAGGGTCACTTCTGATAACCTGAGCTGTATCATAAACACCCTCCCCCCAAAATTTCCAGTCACAGCTCCCAGTGGACTCCTTGATGTCACTGTGGTCTACATGAACCCAGAACAGCATTGCTGCCAAGAGTCCAGTGATGAGGAGGCCTGGCCAGAGGACAAGGGCCACCAAGCCCCAGGCACCCAGGCACCTCCAACCCCAGCTCTCAGGCCCCTTCTCTGCAACAGGGGAGACCTGGGCAAGGACATCACGACCTCTGGATACTCTTCCGTCAGCAGCTCAAGTCCCATAAGCTCCCTGGATGGTGGCATGAGGAGCTCTCCCCGATCTACCTCAGTGCTGTCTGTGGGCAGCTACTCAATCACAAAGCCTTGCCACCATCAGGCCAAGAAGTCATGTTTACAGTGTCGCCCCCCAAATTCCCCAGAAAGCGGTGTTCACCAACAACGGGTAAAGCGCCAAAACCTATCAGTGCGCAATGACGAGGACACGAACTTAGGCTTCCTGAAGCTCTGACTGTGTTAGTGTTTGCCATGATAAAATGTTTACTGTTTACTGGGGAGGGCTGCTGTTTCTCTAGGACATTGCTGGCAGGTGCTATGTAGACTCCAGAAGGGGAGTTCAGTATGAGCCCACAGAAGATCTGTGAAAGGCTCAGCCTCTTCTCGGACAACAGCCTCAAAGCAGTCATGCCTCACCTGTGGAGCCTGTCTATCTCTGTCCTGCTGGCTCTGGGAGCACGAGCCTCTGTTGGCATTCACAGTCACACACAGGCCAGGTGCTGCATGTCAGTAGGGAAGTCTCATCTGAACACATCACTGCCCCTTTCAACCTAGGGAGCATGTGTCCCTGCATATCAGTGTTGCCTATAGCCTAAAGGTCAGGTGTGAGAACTTGAAGTTGAGGCTAAAGGCCCCTCTCTCTCTGGCACTTTGAGCTCATTTTCAAAATCTGTCCTCAGAGTGGTTTGTCTGTGTTCCATTGTATCCATGTGGCCATCTTTCTGCACTGAATTTCTAGACCATTATTTCCCCATCTTTATTTCTAGGTTTCTTCTAATGAAATAAAAAGGGGGGGAGGGAAATTTGAAATAGAGGGTATCAAATAAAAAGATAACAGATTTCCAATATTGCTGAGCTTCAAATGAAAAAAGATCTAGGTGCCCTTGGTGGCTCATCATGGCAATGTCAGCTGCCAGAAGATTGTAGGGACAAGCCAGAAGCCCCAGGTCAGGCTGGGCTGGGCTGTCTTACCTCAGAAAAAGGAAACTGATAGCAGCCTCTTGGTTCTATTCTTGTGCTCGTTCCTTATGAAAAATGAACTTTCTAGAGGATAGCCACAAACAATCACTTGTAATAATGAAATTTACAAAAATTCTGGATTCCACGGGAAGGAAGCCGGTAACCAGACTGGCTGAGTTCATGGCAGGAGTCCTCTAGAAGAAAGCAGGCCACTGGACTCACTGGGTTTGTGGCCAGATCCCACTGGAAGAAAGCGGATTACCAGTCCTTTTGTGCTGGCCAGACACTTGGAGAGTCTGCTTCATGTGGAAGGCCTTGGGTCTGAGGCAGTAGGCCCTGCTCACCTGTGGAGTCTGCTGAAGGCAGAACAGATAAGCTGACCATATGTGTATAACTCCTATTTCCTCTTGAAAAAGTACCAGGAATGCCGCCCAAATTCCCTTGAACCAAAAGTACAGTATTCATTTTCTGTGCTGTGCCCAGTGGCAGCTCCTTCTGCTACTGTTAACAGAATTCTGACCACTCTGGCTACTACATACTGGTGTAAGGAGAGTGCAAGCATTTGGATTGTAGTCCTACCCCATTGTGTTCACCTGGGCATGTGTGAGATGTTTCCACGGCTGTAAAAAGAGACAGTAATACCTACCTCACAGCGATGTTGTGAGGATTAAATGTGAAGAGACTCATGACATGAGTAATATGCATTCCCATAACTGCTTCCCACCTAGTCCGTGGTGTCCCTGGTCAAAATCCCAGCTCACTGGGGCTGTAGAGTTGGTTCTCTCTAAGCACCTGTTCTTGTGGAGAGGACCTGGCTTTGGTTCCTAGCACCCACACGGTGGTTTACAACCAACCTAAATTCTAGACCTCTGCCGCACCGCTTGTACATGTGACATGTGGTACACATACATACTGGCCACACACACAATAAAACTAAGAAGTTTTAAAATCTCCTCTCACTACCAGCCTGAACCTGTAGGAGAAGCTTGCAGACACACTCCTGGCCCCTCTGGTTTCTATGAGTTCTTGATCTTGCCAAGTTCCCTGGGCTGCTGGAGTCCAGTGGGAAGCAGTTGTACCTGTACCTAGTCTCTTAATCCTTTGCTTGCCACAGGGACTCACAACTTCATTTTGTTCCCTGAATCTTCATATCCTTCATATCTAAGCAACTCGGGTTACCTTACCTGTTGGATTAGTAATTTTATTAGCTCCAATTCTACTGGGCACTGTTCCTGACCTCACTTCTTCCAGCAACCAACCACATTTTAAACTTTAGAAACAAATCTAAAAGCTATGTCTAGTGGCGTGCTTCTATAATTTTAGCACTAGAAGATAGAAGAATGGGGCTGGCCATATGGCTCATTCATTAGGAGCATTTGCTGGTCTTCTAGAAGGACCTAGATTCAAATTGCCACACCCACACGGTGGCTCTCAGTTATCCACAACTCCAGTTCCAGAGGATCCAATTCCCTCTAATGGCCTCCATGGGCACTAGGCTTGCAGGCTGTACACAGACATAATTGTAAAATGTTTTTCAAAACAGGCTTTCTCTGTGTAACAGCTTTGGCTGACCTGAAACTCAGAGACTCACCTGCCTCTGCCTCCCAAGTGCTGGGATTAAAGGCATGCACCACCACTGCCTGGCTAGCTGATAAAGTTTTTTAGTTAAAGAAAAAAAGAAAAATGAGATGAAGACAGGAAGATGGTGAGTTCAAGGTCATCCTCAGCTAGTGAACTTAAGGCCAGTTTAGGCTGCATGAAATCCTGCTTCACACACTCTTGACTTGAGAATACAGAAATATATACATACATACATATATATATATGCCAGGCATTGGTGACCCACTCTTTTAGTCCCAGCACTCAGGAGGCAGACAGTTCTCTGAGTTCAAGGCCTGTCCCCTGGTCTACAGAGCAAGTTCCAGGGCAGCCTCCAAAGCAATACAAAGAAACCCTGTCTTGAAAAACTGGAAAAGAAAAAGAAACACGAGCTGGAAGTTGACCTGACTGGGCAAAGACCATTGCTGCGCCTTAGCTACAGTGCATGTATGTGTTCTGAGCCTGCTGTTCTTAACTGCTTCCGCCATTATCTGGGCCTGAGCCACTCCTCCTAGCATCCATCACTCATCTGTCCCTTTCACAGCCTACCATGACTTAGGCCACATGCTGCTCATTTCCGGGGCTTCCTTGCTATCTGTTCTAGCACCTGACATTCCCATGCTTCCTGTGCCCTGAGCCGTTTCTAAAACATCATCTTTCTTCCATATGCTTGGCTGCTAAGTGACCCTGGAGTCAGCAAGACAGTTTGATCTTTGCTTTCAAAGTATGTTCCACAAAAACTGGTTAAGACAGAAAACCAAACATTAGAGAGTCATGGATACCCTGACAAGAGCTTTATCTGGTTACCCAAACCGGAAGCGAGCAAGTCTTATCTACCCTGGCCTGGTTATCGAGAGTCCAACAAAGCCTCGGGGGGCGGGGTTAGGGCGGAGCCTGATTAATGAGGTGGATTCGCACTATGGAGGAGGTCTTGATCGCTGCGGTCAAGATTGGGTAGCCTAGCCGGAAGTGGGCGGACTTCTACCCGGAAGGTGCAGGACTCCGTGGTGGCGGCAAAAATGCTTGGAGCTAAAGCAGACTACCTACTACCTATGGACTGCACGCGCCGGTGGGTCTCGTGCGACAGGAGGGAATGGGGCGGGTGGGCGCGAGGTTCGGAGGCTCACATGGTGCTTGTACTCAGGCTAGTGGCGGAGGTGCAGGGCGCCCTGGACTCCTGCGCTGAGCGGCAGCGGCAGTTGGAGCGGAGCCTGCGCGTTTCCAGGCGGCTGCTGCAGGTCTGGTACGCGGACCTTGGGACCTCCTGGCCAGGCCCTCCTCAGACCATTTATGCAGAGCCCCGGGGGCTGGAAGACCAAGTGCAACTGCCCACTTTGGAGGCTGTTTGCCGTTGCTATCCCTTCCCCCTTATCCTGTAGGCTGAAAATCTGTTTAGGGGGTAAGGTCTGTTTGAGCCATGCCATGGCTGCCCTGTGTTTGCAGGGAACCAGCCAGGACCCTAGCTCCGGAGCCAGAAACCAAGGAAGAGGCCGCAACTTCAGGTAAATCTCAACTGCTTTTTCGGCGTGCTGCCCTTGGCCTTTCTCTGGCATGTTGTCGTGGTGGATCCATCCTGGGACAGTGTAAAGGAACTCTTGCATGGTACTTAACATTCACAGCATGCACACCGAATGCTCAAGACCTCAAAGAGCTGGAGCTTCTGACCCAGGCACTGGAAAAGGCTGTGCGAGTGAGGAAAGTCGTGTCTAAGGCTGGACAGAGAGACAGAACTCCCAGCCTGACATCTGCATCTAATGCAGTCACTTCTGGTGCTACTGCCCCTGCCCGTTCCCAGGCCCCCAGCCAGCTTGGCAGCCATGCATCAGGTGCAAGATCCACCAAGGCTGTACAAGGGGCCACGGTCCCTGACCAGAGTGCAGATCCAGAGCGCAGACTTCGGTCAAGGGGAGATAGGACCCAAATGAAAACAGGAGCGCAAGCACCGGGCCTCGGGGACCAACAAACGGCCCCAGCAGCTGTTCCTCGTGCCACAGAATTCACACTAAAAGAGAAAGGGTAAGCTTCCCAGACCTCACTGGAGAAACTGTCTTCTCTAACTGTTGAGATCTTAGCAGGGCATTGAGCTGGATGAGGAAACCCTGGGTACCGCCCTTAAGGGTCCTGCAGTGAAGCAGGCAAAGTAGAGCATCTGATTAGGAGGGGATGAGCTCTTGATACGTCTTCTCTCTGGACTGGGCCAGCACCCATGCTACTCCAGAAGCCATTTTCAAGGTGTTTGTCTGACAATTAGACTGTTAAGGAGAGGCGCTTAGGTGGTTCATCCTAATGGGTTCTGAGCCATGAGGAAGAATGACAGCCCTAGAATGGGAAGAGGATTCTCTGAACATTGGCTTCTCTCTGACAGGACCCTCCTGCAACTACCTGTGGCCTTCAGGAAGGCAGCTTCCCTGAATTCTCGGTAAGGCAGAATGGGCACTGAAAGACCCGAAAACCTGACTAGCGTTGGGACTTGCAAACAAAACCCACCAACAGATCTCTCTGCTTTTCTTGTATCGGGTCCGTGTGTGTGTGTGTGTGTGTGTGTGTTTCTGTTTCTGTGAGTACACCACCAGGAAAGGGTGTTAGACCTGAAGTTACAGACAATTATGAGCTGCCTGAGGTGAGTGCCAGGAGTCAAACTCTTTTCCTCTGTAAGAGAGAACCAAGTGCTCTTAACCACTGAGTCATTCATCTCTCCAGCCCACGACCATTCAAATTTTAGAGCTGAGTATGACACCTGGTCTCTAAGTTCTTCTGGCCTATCTTCCTTCTGGAAGGACAGTAATAGGCCCTGATTCATATTGGTGCTGTTAGGGTCAGGTGTTTGCACTGTGCCTGCACAGATCCTTCCTGCCCACTTGTCTTGGTCAGTATCTCTAGGTTCCCTGAGGCTTCTGTTACCCTTACTGCCATATAATAAAGTCATACTCTCAGGGATATTTGCCCCTGCCCGCCACTTCCCCTACCTCTTAGGGTCTACTCTTGTCTCTCCTCCGGGGCTGCCTTTGTGCCTGTTCCAGTCTGTGGGCACAGCTCAGCTCTATACAAGCCAGTGACTCTGCAGGCATCACCAGAGCCACCAAAACTGAGTTCCTCCACAAACTCCAGGCGGCCGTATCCTTACTAGCTAGGAAAAATTGGGGTTTTCTGGCTCTAAACCTGGCAGGCTTGGGAAAGGGCCACTGTGGCATGGCAATAGTATCTCTCCAAACTCATTTTTGGTGGGAGGATAGGATCTGACCACAGGACAGTTTCCCTGAATAGTGTGCAGTCAGGTTTACCCAGCCACAGGCCCAGTGCTGCCGAGGTGGGAGCGCAAGCCCAGAGCCTGAGGAAGGCCTGCTCACTGCTGAGACTTCACATGCAGAAGGAGCTTTCAACAGGTTGGTTGCCCTGATTGGTACTTGGGTGGAGGGTGGAAGGCAAGGGTGGCAGGGGGAGTTTGGGGACCACGCACCCCCACTTGCCCTCCTTAACTCCTATAGCCCCCACTGACTGGATGCAGGAATACCGATGCCTACTCGTCCTAGAAGGACTGCAGACCATTGTTGGACACTGTCTCCATAGGGTACAGGTGCTGCAAGCATGTAAGGTTCTACCCCACCACTACCTGTGCTAAGGTCTAAACTAGTGTCAAGGCACTTTGACCTTCCTTGCCTGTGAGTGAAAGAGTCACCAGCCAGGGTCCAGAGGCAGGCAAACCCATCAAACCAAACATACCACAACCTGCCACACACTAGGTTGTTTTGTTGTTGATGATGTTTGTTTTTGTTGTTTGGTTTTTGGTTTGTTTTTTTTTTTTTAATATATTTATTAGTTTTTCTTATTATCGATCCCAGTTCCCCCTCCCTCCTGTTTTTCTTTTTTCTTTTTTTTTTTTTTTTTTTTTTTTTTTTTTTTTTTTTTTTGAGACAGGGTTTCTCATGTTCCACGCTGCCATGGAACTCACTTTGTAGACCAGGCTGGCCTCCTAGAACTCAAGAGATCCGCTGCCTCTGCCTCCCAAGTGCTGGGATTAAAGGTGTGTACCACCACTGAAGCTTACAGGTTGTTTCCAAAGCTTGGCTTTGTATCCCTTAAAGCCAAGGCCAACTGAAAGTAGGGAAGATGTGCCTGGAAAGCTAAGTACTGGCCTGTAAGAAAAGAGAACCCTTAGTAACAGCTGCCACCCCATGAGATTACAAAGGGCTGTTTTTGTAGCCATGACAGAACAGCTGCCAGGACTATGCCCTGTGGAGAAGCCCACTCAGTCCTCATCACATTGTGGAGGAGAGACGGACTCTGCCTGGAGCCCCCAGCTCCTTCTGTACTCCAGCACCAAGGAGCTGCAGACCTTGGCAACGTTGAAGCTTCGAGTGGCCATGCTAGACCAGCAGATCCATCTAGAAAAGGTACTTGCAGACCAGGAGGTGGTGATATGTACCTGGGTTCCGTGGAGCCAGTGACCTCACTGAGGCTGGCACTTGAGCCGCTGAGGACCAGACTCAAGAGGTGAAGGACCTAGGATAGGCTGTGACTCTGAGTCTAGGCCTCATGTGATCTGGAACATTCTCCAGTACGTTGCCTGCTCAGGATGCATAGAATCTCAGAAAGGAAGGCTGGAGAATGGAAACTTGTCCCAGAATTGCCTATATGAGGAGCCCTGGCATAGCTCTCTGGGATAGGATCCACTGAGGCCTTGGCCCTGTACTGTTCCCCAGGTTCTGATGGCTGAACTCTTCCCTCTGATAAACACCCAGGAGGCAGGAGGGCCACCTCGGCTGGCACTGTGTCGGGCTGCATATAGTCTGCTCTGTGAAGGAGGTGAGCACTTCCTCACAGTCCTTCGAGATGACCCTATCGACTAAGCAGACTGGACAAGCTTCTCTGGGAGAGTCCCCTTCTCTCAGTGGGAGTGTAATGAACAGGGATTGAAGGGAAATTTCCTGTTTGGAGGTGCTCAGAGCAGAGATACCTGTAACTTTACTGGGAAAGCTAGGTGGTCAAAATGAGGTGGTCAGGGTACTCCCTTAGCTCTGCGTAGCCACTGCACTTCCTGATCAGGGCTCAGCTTTCTGCCTCCCTGGGGAGCCTTTCTTGGCTCCCTCTACTTTCTCTCACTGTAGGTCCACAAACTACTTGTATAATACTAGAGCTGCTTTAGAAAGTGTGTATATTTATATTATGTCAAAGTAGAGCTTGGTAAGGAGCTTTTCATATTCTTGTTTCTTTGTAATTTTAAGGATTTTTATCTGTTGAGGGGCTTGGGATACACCTGTCACCCCATTACTGGGGAGGCTGAAGCAAGAGATCCTAAGTCTAAGGCCAGCCTAAAACCCTGCCTAAAATAAAATAAATAAAGGGAAGAATATATCAAGTAGAATTTTCAAAAAAATGTCTGTCTCTTCTGCATAAGGGGTTTGGGGATTATTAGCATGTGCTCCCTGGGACCCTGAAGTCTCTTCCCCATGTGGCCAAGTGCTGCACTGAGCATATTAAAAACAGCCATAAGCCACATCAGAACAGACCTGACTCCAGCTGCACGCCTACTGTCACCTGGTACCAGACTTTCAGCCTCGGTCCCCCAGAATTTTAAAAGGTATTTTATTTGGGGTGCTGGAGAGGTAGCTCAGTGGTTAAGAATACCCTTATTGCTCATAGCTGCCTGTAACCCCAGTTCCAAGGGATCCAGTGGTCTCCAATGGCCACAGTAAATACTGTACATATGTGATGCACATTCATACATGTAGGCAGACACCCATATGTATATGTAAAATATAAATTTAAATATATTTTATGTCTATGTGGATGCCTGTATGTATAAATGTGCACCTTTTGTGTATCTGATGCATGCAGAAGCCAGAAGGCTTCAGATCCCTTGGGCTCTAGTTATAATTGGTTTTGAGCTGCCACATCGATGTTGGGCACCAAACCTGGGTCTCTTGGTACAAGGGTACCAAGTGCGTTTAACTCCTGGGACCTTGTTCCAGCCCCTAGACTTTTTTTTTTTTTTTTTTTTTTTTTTGTTTGTTTGTTTGTTTTGTTTTTTAGCATAATTTCTTTATTGAATCTGGGATTTTCACATCATGCACCCTAATTCTACTCACTTCCCAATCCCTCTCTTCCCTGCAATGTCCCCCCAAACAAATTTTTTTTAAAAAAAATCAAAACAAACAAAAAAAAACAAGCCAAAAGGAAACCCATTTGTTCCCTCTTTAACACCATCCCGGTGGCCTTGAGGGCTGAGTTGTGTTACATAGTATATATACCCTTCTGTCCAGTCAGCTCTACTTGGGCATGTTTTTTGCAACTAATCACTGGTCCTGTTCAAGGCCTCTAGTTTCTGCTACACCATCATCTGGTACACTCATCCCACTCATTCTTACCGGAACTCCTCTCAGATATCCTGAAGCTTCCATGAGTCATGGAGATCCTCCAGTTACTGTTTCTTAGGACCAGGCCCTTCACTAGCTCCAGCAGGACATAGATGGGGTAGATGTTAGCATGGGCCAACCCTAAGCCTGGATGTGGGTCTGAGTGGGAGTTGAGCTGATTAGTCTTGGCCACTGGGTCTGTACCTGTCAGGCAAGGGACTGAGTCAGCTCCCCTATACCCTTGCCAGCAGGATCAGCTCTCATCTCCCTCCTCCTGCCCATGGTAAGGGGTGGGGCCATCATTTCTCCTGAGTCAGGGAGCAACTCTATTGCTATAGCAACCAGTGAAGGGCAGGGCTGGTTCAGCATGGCCCTCTGATTCTATCACATGGTTCATATGGCCCCCTGAGGTAACATGGGCCACAGACATCAACACAGAACCCAGCTGCAGCAGGATGACTGACCCAGACATGGCCTTTGGCAGCAGCTTGGGCTTGGCTCAAGGTGGAGGTGTGGGTTACTCAGATCAGGATGGCTCTGGTGGCAGCATGCACCTGGGACACCAAAGCCACAGGTTGCTGTCCAAGCCTCCTGTTACCATTGAAGGCCACATGGATACCCAAGCAGAGGCATTGTAAGTGCCTGAGGGCCATGCTGTCATTGGGGCCAGACAATCTAAGTGGCCTGAACTGCTACATGGACAATGGTGACATCCAGACCAGCTACTGCCCAGGACCATGTCTGGGTTCATGGTCCCACCACAGCCAGGGTCTGTGCTGTCACCAAAGGTTACAAACAAGTCTGGGGTCGGGCCAAAACCTGTGGGGTTTTTTTTGTTTTGTTTTGTTTTTAAAGACTACTTTTAGGTGGCCATTGTGGTTTATACACTTAACCCCAGCACTCAGGAAGCTGAGGCAGGTATATCTCTGAATTTAAGGCTGGCCTGGTCTATATATTAAGATCCTGATTTTTTTTAAAAAAAAATTGTATTTAATTATATGTGTATAACACCCGTGTATGGTTCTCTGACATGAAAAGAAGGCATCAGATACCCTGGAGCTAGAGTTAAAAGCTGTTGTGAGCTGTCAGGAATGTATGCTGGGAGCTGGTCTTCTGGAAGATCAGCACATGCATTTTGTTTTCTTAGACAGGGTCTTTCTATATAACCTTTACTGGCCTAGAACCCAACATGTAGTCCAGATTGGACTTAGATCCACCTGTCTCTCCCTATGGAGCACTGGGATTAAAGGGATTTTTCCAGAAAGTTTCTCTGTGTAGCTTTGTAGACCAGGCTGGCCTCAAACTCACATAGATCCACCTTCCTTTGCCTGAGTGCTGGGACTAAAAAAGGTGTGGGCCACCACCTCCTGGCTGATCTTAAGTATATTTTAAGAGCACTTAACAGGTCCCAAGAGTTTCTTTGAGCTGGCCACTAGCCTCACCAAACTAGGGAGAGGACAGAGATCTTCCACAAGGGAAAACATTCTCTATCACAGGGGTCACTGTTCCTACAGGGAACCTGACAGGAAGTGTGCAGAGGTAAAACCAGGTCTGTGGAAAGCCAGGGAAAGTCTGTAGGTGACAAGGATGGGCTGGGTAATGGTTAAGCAGCTTGCTCTGGTTACCAGGAGGAGGTCCTCCTTATAAAAAAGTTTTTACAAAGGTCAGTCCAGCCAACCAAAATTAGTCAAGACAGCCTGGTTTGAGGGTTTTGAGGGAATGAGAAACAGTAGAATATGAAAAACTATGGCCTTCATTGAACTGAGAAGTGTCTCCTGGATCAGAACCCAGGAATCTTTGAGCCAAGAGAGGAGGCTGCCCTACCCTATGAGACTAGCACCCAACCCCAGGAGAATGCCCCTGACTTGAACCATGCATTTAACTAACCAAACCCTTTCTGGTCACTCCACTGCTACCTGGAAAGCTTATGCCTAAGTGCTGTGATCCAGAGGAGGCCTTAACCCTGCCAGTCGGTCGTTTACCACCGCAGGACCTCTTTTCATAACAAGCTATCCAGAATTATTCCACTGATTGATTCACTTGATTTATTATTGTTCCTACTGTCTCAATGTCCTGTCCTGGGGCTGGGTATAAATCCTGTCCAACTCTACCGTTGGCCAACCTCTGGGGAGCTGAGTCATCCCTTGACTTTATGACCATCCTACCTTGCTGCCAATTCGGGCCCTGGTAGTATCCAACCCTGTTCTAGGTGCTCAAACTCTGAGGTACAGTGGGTGGAATCAGAGTATTTGTGAAGGGCTCCATGAAGATAAGGGAAGCATTTTAGATGTGACACACCCACACGCACCCAATTCCTTGCCAACACCAGGAGGAGGCAGTGGAACTCCCAGGCGTCCTGATGTCGTCACCACGTCAGGGACCAATTGGCTTTGACGTGGCAGACCAGGATGTAACCTATGGCTGTGGTGGGCATTCTTACCATCGCCAACCCCATTCCCACCCCGGATCACGACCACTCAGTTGGAAACATGAGAACACCAGAGCCCTTGCCTGAGCCCACCCTGCCAGGCCTGGCGTCCCCAGAGCCCCCTGGAGCTCTGCACACTCTTTTCTTGGCCACCGGCGGTGCAGGGGGCTCCTGGCCGCGCTGCGTCCTGCCCTTCGGAGCCCTGGCGGTGCTGGCTGGTGCAGCTGGCACGGGCATCACCTTCTCGCTGTGCGGGCCCTGTCTGGATCTAGCTCAGAGCATGTCGCTGGCTGCTCTTGGCGCGGGCCTTGGACTCCTGACCGCCACCTTTCTGTGCTGGCACACTCGGCGACGGCGGCGTGGAAGGGCTGGGCTTCTGGAGCAGCGAGAGCCCAGGCACTCAGCCCGTGTGCGGGGCCACCTCCCAGCGAGGTCTGGGCGAGGAAGGTGCATTGCAGTGTAGGCGGGACACAGCAGACCCTTCCCTAAACTGTGTTTCCAAACCCTCATGAGGTGGGAAGCGTTTGCCCTTCCTCCTCCCTCTCTGCCCTTCCCCCTCACACCCAGAGCTGATTGTTGCCACAGAGCTGGGTTGACACTGTGGAAGGGGAGGGGGTTCGCAAACCGTCTGCGAAGGGAGCGTAGGGTGCAGAGTGTGAAGCTGCCTGCCTTCCTCACCATGTCTGGGCACATGGTGGCAAAATAGGCATGCAATAAATGTACAAGACGAGAGCAAGTGGAAGCAAGTGTCTGAAGGGGACAGTAGGTTCTGGGCTGGGCAGGGGGTTATTTGAGAGGTCAGCAGCTCCCTGCGGCCTGAAACTGTCAAACTCTATCATTCCCTATCCCCTCAAAGCCAGCTGCTGTGACTGGATTGGGGTGAGTGTGCAGAGTTGAGCATTTGCAGGTGTTAGACAGAGACGTGGACCCTCTTTGTTACAGAAAGTATTTGGAGGGGGTAGGGACCAGTGAGATGAGAGGCCTAAGAGGCCTCAGTCAGGGGCTGGACAGGTGGTCGAGTCCACAGAGAGTTAATAAGCCTCTCTTGGAGACTGGAGAAAGCTATCCCAATGCCCAGCACACCATCTGCAAGAGTAGCCCTGGGGCCAGAGAGTATGTGCAGAGGGCAATTCTACAGAAGATATCTGAAGCCCACAGCCTCCTCCCTGAAGAGCTGTGATGTAATAAGCCATTTGAGCCCCTGTCCTGTCCCTCCCCATCCCCCAGGACCTGATCAAAGCAGAACCCAACACCAGCTTCCACTGGCATCAGAATCCATCACATGTTCTGCAGACCCCAGCAGCCATAACTCACAGGGAATCTGGGCTGGAGACAAAGCTTACTTCACTGTTAGGGTGAAAGGCTGTTCCCCCTGTCCTACCTCCACAGTTGGCTGACAGTCTGGGGACTCTAGCAGGGGTCTTGAAGTTCAGAAGACAGCCTGGGTTTCCCCTTAGCCTTTCCTCAAACATAAGCCACTCTCCATCACTCCCATCTCCACCAGGGCTCCTCCCGTCCCTATGAGGTGGCAAGGGCATAGAAGAACCTAGAACAGTGGTTCTCAACTCATGGGTCTTGACCCATTTCAAGAGGCCACCTAAGACCATCAGAAAATACAGATTATTTGCATTGAAATTCATAACAGTAGCAAAATTGCAGTTATTAAATAGTAATGAAAATAATTTTATATTGGGAGCAATCACTACAACATCAACATGAGGAACTGTATTAAAGGGCCACAGCATTTGGAAGTCTGAGAACCACTGGTCTAAAAGGTGGTAGGTAGGACAGGGCTAATTCTGAACTTGATCTTCTGAAGAGCATAGCTTCAGCCTATGACTCCTTGTTTAAAGGACACATTCTGGTCCACTTTAAGAAGCTAAAAGGTAGGGCTCCGAGGCTGTCCAGATGAAGAGAGAGGCCAATAGCCCCTCTCGGAAGTCTATTCCTCCAGTACCCATTCCTAAATGTACAGACACCAGGCCTAGGAAAGTGCTATGTTCAGAGCCAGTTGTTCTACAGGTCAAACCAAGTGTCCATCAACCTGTCATCCTGCTTCTTCAAGTGTCTGCCTTGGCTGCAACCTTGGTTTGTCCTGCAAGGGTTCCAGCGTCCTTGCTCTATTCCTATCCTGAAAAGCAGAGTGCTTCTTTTCCTTTTTTAATTTCAGGAACTCTCAGTCCATGATGGTAGCTCCGAGTACACAAGCATCTCCATATAGCCTCTTCTGCTGGTTACAGACTGGCCCATGGTTAGCCTCCCTTCTGAACTTAGATCTTTGGGCCTCAGGACTGCTCCCGATATTCTAGCCTGCCAAGAACAAGGACAGCAAGAAAAGAATCTTTGGTTCCTCTTGTCAAGAATCTTGCAGCTATAGCTGCTCATCTCCAGCTTGGGCCCTGGCAACTCATCTGGGGCACAGGCCTGTTTCCCTATCCACATCTACTAGGATGGAGTCTGCCAGATTCAGGCATTCTGGCTCTGATTTTTCTAGGACCAGTCCTTCTCTGTGTCAAATCCCACTCTTTACCTTCCCACAGTGGCCCTCAACAGGTTGCCAGACCAGGAACCTCAAGAGGCCATCAAATGGACTGTACTCCCTATCCAGTTTCCAAACTTGCAAGTCCTTCTGGACAACGTAGCCATCACTGACTATTCACTGAGACCCAGGAATGCTTTAGGTTAAGAGATTGGGCTGATTCCAATGAAAAACAGTGATCTCAGTACTTAACAGAACCTAGGTGCTCCCTAGCTGAACTAGTTTAGGATGATGCCTATGTTGGCTCAACAAATCCTCTGAGCAACTCCACAAAGTAGGCATTTTGGTTGATGGGGAAACTAAGAAACTCAGTCCACACAGCCAGAAATCCAAACAGCTTGAATTTGAAATCAGACCTGCGTTCTTTCTGCTAGAACAGACTACTGCCTTGGGGATACCCTACAAGTACGCCAGCCCCAACTGTGTTCCCCTATTCTGGGTAGCTTCCAAGACTTCAAGCTTCAGACCTAAGGTTATGCTTGAATGATGGGCCCCTGGGACGAGTGGCCCGGACCCCAGCCCAGCACGTGGCACCACCCCAGGAGCAGCCAAAGCCTGGCTGCAGGCCGAGGTCCCTGCTGGGTGGTCCCTTACGGGCTGCAAGACTGAGCTGCCCCCCCTCCCATCAGCGCATTCCTGACTCTCCAGCCCCTCCCCCGGCTCGCGGGCCTCCCAGCCCCCTCCCGCGCTGGCCCAGCCTGTGTCTGAATCTGCTTCTGATTCTGGCTGTCGGGACAAGGCCCCCTCCCCTCCTTCCTTCCCGGCCAGAGCAGCTCCGCCCCCCCCCCCCCCCCGCTAGGACCAGGCTCACGCCTGCTGAGCCCCCCACCCACTTCTGGCACAATTCCTCCGCCCTTGCGGCTGCCAGAAGGAGACTGCAGCCCCGGAGCCCCAGGCCCCGCCCGCCCAGGGCCCTTCCCGGGAGGCCGGGAGACCTGCTCCTCCTGGCCCTCCGTGGGTGAGTGCTGGCGGCCGGCGGCGGGTGGGGCCTCCGCGGGCGGAGGCACAGGGAGCGGGGGCGACGCCTGTCAACGCTCCAGGCCTAGCAGGAGGACTAGCCAACATCCCTGCTGCTGTGTTCGGCCCGGGGCGTGCCGGTGGCTGCTCCCACTTCTGGGCCTGTGCTGGGGCAGCCCGGGGGCTCTACTACTTTGGCATTGCAGACCCGGCAGCCAGAGTCTCGGACTAGGCTCTCTCTCCTCGAGGGCACAATCGTTGGGCGGAAACTGGCCGGTTGACCCACAGCGGCCACGGCCATGCCCACCTGGCCCTGGGGGCTGCTGCTGACCGCGGGCACGCTCACCGCTGCACTGAGCCCAGGGCTGCCGGCCACCGCCGACCCCTGCTATGATGAGGCAGGTGAGCCCCGCTGTTGTATTCCGGGCCTAGTGAACGCTGCTCTGGGCAGAGAGGTGCTGGCGTCCAGCACGTGCGGGAGGCCGGCCAATCGCATCTGCGATTCTTCGGACCCGCAGCGGGCACACTCTGCAGATCTCCTGACCTCTGTTCCGGGCACTGCAAGTCCTCTCTGTTGGCGCTCCGATTTGCTGCAACGGGCACCCTTCAATGTTACCCTCACGGTGGCTCTGGGGAAGGCTTTTGAACTGGTCTTCGTGAGCCTGCGCTTCTGTTCAGCTCCCCCAACCTCCGTGGCCCTGCTTAAGTCGCAGGACCATGGCCGCAGCTGGGTTCCCCTGGGCTTCTTCTCCTCCAGCTGTAGCCTGGACTATGGCCGTCCGCCTGCTCCTGCTGGTGGCCCTGCTGGTCCAGGGCCAGAAGCCCTCTGCTTCCCAGCCCCCCAGGCCCAGCCTGATGGTGGAGGACTTCTGGCCTTCAGTGTGCAGGACGGCAGCCCACAGGGCCTGGATCTGGACAACAGTCCCGTGCTCCAAGACTGGGTGACTGCCACAGATATTCGCATATTACTCACAAGGCCTGCCATCCTGGGGGACACCAGGGACCCGGTGGTCACAGTCCCTTACTCCTACTCAGCCACCGAACTCCAGGTGGGAGGACGATGCAAGTGCAATGGGCATGCCTCACGGTGTCTGTTGGACAGCCATGGCCATCTGATCTGCGACTGCCAGCATGGTACAGAGGGCCCTGATTGTAGCCGCTGCAAGCCCTTCTTCTGCGACAGGCCATGGCAGCGAGCTACAGGGCAGGAAGCCCATGCTTGCCTTGGTGAGGCCTTGGAGGGTAGCCTGGGGACTTCTGACCAGGCAGGGCTGCTCCTGACTGATCCCTCCCTGCAGCTTGCTCCTGCAATGGCCATGCCCGAAGATGCCGCTTCAACATGGAGCTGTACCGACTGTCTGGCCGTCGCAGTGGGGGTGTGTGCCTCAATTGTCGACACAATACTGCTGGTCGACACTGCCACTACTGCCGGGAGGGCTTCTATCGTGACCCAGGCCGTGTCCTGAGTGACCGTCGTGCTTGCAGAGGTGAGCCTACCACCTGCATGCCTTCATGCTTTAATTCCCCAGAACCCTGATGCACTTCTGAACAAGCCCCTTTGTTTCTGTCCTCAGCTTGTGACTGCCATCCAGTTGGTGCTGCTGGCAAAACCTGTAACCAAACCACAGGCCAGTGTCCCTGTAAGGATGGTGTTACTGGCCTCACCTGTAACCGATGTGCCCCAGGCTTCCAACAGAGCCGTTCTCCTGTGGCGCCCTGTGTTAGTAAGTGATCCTGCCCTGTCTCAATCACCTCAGCCAACGTCATTAGCTACTGTTGTCTGTGTGTCCCCTGAGACCCTCAGATACCCCTGCCACCCCATCATTGACTATTCTCCCACACTCTTTAGAGACCCCTGTCTCTGGACCCACTGAAGAAAGCAGTCCTGTGGAGCCGCAGGGTGAGTGGACACCGGACTCCCAGACTGGTATGACCTTGGAGAAGGGGGCTATAGCTAAAGTAGACCAGTGTGGGAGAGAGGCATGGGACTCTGTTAGCTTCCGCTCTTTCCCCCTAGACTGTGAGTCGCATTGCAGACCTGCGCGTGGCAGTTACCGGATCAGCCTGAAGAAGTTCTGCAGGAAGGACTATGGTAGGCTGTCTCACCCCAGCCCTTGCATTATGCCCCCAAGTCCTTTGAAAACCTTGACCCTTGACTGAAATTCAAGCCTCATCCTCTCCTCGTGTCTCCCACTGATGCTGGCTCCGCCTATTCAGCAGCTATATCTTCAATGTACCTCCCTCTAGTGGGTGGCCTCTTTATGTCCTTCCTTAGCCGGGTGGGCACTGTGCTTCTCCACACAGTCCCTTCCGGCACTGCTGTGTCTGACGCGATCGCTTTCTCATTCTCCTTCCCAGCCGTGCAGGTGTCAGTGGGTGCGCGCGGCGAGGCCCGCGGCGTGTGGACACGCTTTCCGATAGCAGTGCTTGCTGTGTTCCGCAGCGGCGAGGAGCGCGCTCGGCGCGGGAGCAACGCGCTGTGGGTACCAACCCTAGACGCGGCCTGCGGTTGCCCGCGCCTCCTACCCGGCCGGCGTTACTTGCTGCTGGGGGGCGGGCCTGGGGCTGCAGTTGGAAGCACAGCGGGCCGGGGACCCGGACTTAGCGCTGCCCGAGGAAGCCTCGTGCTGCCTTGGAGAGATGCTTGGACTAGGCGCCTGCGGAGGCTACAGAGGCGCGAGCGGCGGGGGCGCTGCGGGACCGCCTGAACCTGCAAACCGGGCGTGGACTGGGCGGGTACTCTCTTATCTCTGGGCGTGTTCATCAGTGCATTTGCCTGCTGGACTTGTCACGTGCTTCGCCACCTAATTTCCCCCTTTCTCCCCATCCCTGCTTTTAACTTCTTTGGCGATATGCCACCTCCAACACAGAAGTGTGAAGCCCCTAAGAGCTACCTGGAGACTCCTAGGACAGTCACCCTCAGAAGACCCTGACCTCATCACCCTGGCAGCCTACTACAAGGGGTTTCCTGATAGCCGACATCTTTTAAAGGTTGTAAACCGCCCACTCCCAGGGGATGTCAGGATCCTTCTGGGGTTTAAGCACATCCCACGGGTCGCTGTGATTCATCAGCTCTCCGATGTGATACACTAGAGTCCTCAGAACTCCCCAAAGCCACTGTTGCCACCATAGACGTCTGTACACCGTTGTGGGAGGTCGTGGTCCAACTACACAGGCAGGACAGTGACTTCGCCTCCAATCGGGATCTGCAAATACTGCTCCTCCTGTATAAGGATGGCTGCCTCTATCCAACACCGTGGTTCTTGTCCCCATGTCCATTCTGGCCTGCCAGTCGCGTATTTGTGTCCCCATCCGCACCTCTTTTTTGTCCTGTTGTCCCCATCTCTGGGATCTGTCCAGTTGTCACTCCCAGAAGCATCTCCTAGTAGTCTTGGCCTCCAAGCTTATTGGCACAGGTCCCGCCCCTAGCTAGGAGCCCTACAGTCTACCGCTCAAGACTGGACGTCACGAACGGGTAGTTTGGGTCCACAAGTAACCGGGTCACACGGCGACTTCCACGGGCAGCCATCGGGGTTCCAGATGCCCAAGACTTTGCCTTACACCAGGCGTTAGCGCACCACCTCTTTTGACGAGCCCCTACCCCGGAGAGCGGGAACCGCTGTTTGGCTAGCGCATGCTCCGGACTTGGCCGCCGCCAGGGCGCAAGCGCGCATGCCCAGAGCTATCCGCGCTGAGACGCGGGGCGCTCGGGGTGGGCAGCCCGCAAGCGCGTGCTTGTGGGGCGGGGCCGCCTACGCGCGTGCGCAGAAAGGCCCGCGCGGTCCAGCGGAGAGCTGAAGGGAGCGGTGCGGTGCGGTGCGGTGCGCCGAGGTGGGTGCGCGGCGGGGGCGTGGCGGCTGGACGCGGGGTGTGAGGGTATCATTGTCACCTTGCGCTGATCGGCGGCATGGACGTACTGAGAGAGGAGACACGGGCGGTGCTTAGTGTCTTGGTCGCAGCAGGTTGGGGGCTCCGGAGGCTGGTGCTCCGGAGCCTGGTGCGTGACACGGGCCCGGGTGTCAAATCCCTTTGGGCAGGCCGGGCCTTCTTCAGTCGTCGCTGCCTCTTCTTGGTTTTGTGTCGTGGGAAAGACCTACCTCTGTGTCAACCTTCCCTTGGGACACTTTCTGTCCCTGTGGAATAGGAAGGACACCCTCTTTTTGTATTTGTTCGGAATTGCAGCAGTGTTTATATACCTTTGCCCTCGAAGACCTGCAACAGTTCGGGCCCTTCACTTGCCAAAGATGACACAGCTGCCCACCTGACACTTAGGAACTTTCCTAGCCTGAGAGCCCTATCAAGCTAGTGTCCCTGACTTGTTTGTGTCGCCTGTGTCGCCTGTGCCTTAGCTTGGCCCTGTGCTTCTGGAGTCTTGAATAACATTGCTGGAGGGCAGAGATGGCACCTTATGGGGGTGGGCTTCACCTGACAGAAGTCAGTCCATCAGAGATGCTGGCAGCCTGGCCACAGTTTTTCCTTGTCAAACCTGGCCCAGTTCAGAAGCAGTTGTGCTCTGGCCTTCTTGGATTAAGGCTCAAAGGATAACTAAACCAACTGGGCCATATGCAGGTACAAGTTGGCTCTTATGGCAGTGGTGTTCCCATCTTTACAAAGTGGATAGAGGCTCAAAATGATTTTCCTCATTTCACCGTGTTCTGCTGGAAGACCAGCAGGTGACTTCCAGGCAGTATGTACAACTGTCCCATAATTTGGCACATGTTGCCATTTCATCCACTTGGGGTCAAGGACTCCATTCTCATTTTCTATCTCCCTCCCCTCAATAGGCACCTGTGAATGTTCACTGAGTTGTATTGGAGATAAGTGTGTTTATGCTCTTTTATGCTCTCGATCCAGCTGGTGTCCATTTTGTGTAGCCTCCGTTGGTGTCAAGACCAACCCAAATGACAAATGATCAAGACGTTTCAAATACTTGATAGTGACCATTCATATTGAGTGGTATGATCCCTTTGTGTGCTTCCTTTATTCTGAGGATTAACCCTCACCTAATCTCCTCAGCACTCACTCAGATAAAGACTTTGTGGGACATTCTCGGTAATGACAGCTGTATTTAGAACCTGGTGTTTGTGTGAATAGGCTTAGAGCCACTGGCTCCACTCATGACAACCCCATGCCTGGCATTCAGTGGACCAGGCACCCTCTTAAATGGTTATTAGAGGGAATAAAGATGCTGTTTTCTAAGTGATAGATATCAATTAGTGAATTAGCAATGTAGTGGCTTTCAGCTGGATTAAGGGTGACCTTTTGGGTTGCAGAAGTAATCTAATAATCTAGGCAGGGTTTTCATAACAACAATCAAATTCACCTCCCTGGGACTGCAAGTTCACCTGCATGTATACCTTACTAGCTCTAACTAACCACACTTGCCAGGACTGTCCAGCAAGTCTCAGTGACCTTGGGCACACAGTGTTGCTTGTAATCCTTATTAGTGACTGAACCAACCTCAGAAGACATAGTAAAGTGTTAGACTTTGCATGGTTTCTAGTTTAAAGTACTCAGGACAAGGAAGTGGGTTGTAAAAAACAGTTAGCATTTACCCTGTTCAATGTTCTACCTGTTTGAGCATACCTTTTCTGTTTTGACAACTCTAAATAGAAGAAAGAAAGCCTTTACAAAAGCTGTTTCAGTGGCAGTTTGCAGCCATCACCTTCTAAATGGAGATATTTAAAAAAACAAAAAAGCCCTCAGGCCTTTTACTGAGAACAAACCTGAATTTCATTATCTGGGAATTTGCACTATCCTTTCAATATGTGTTTATTGAATTCATACTTCAACAGTGCTTACTTAGTATATGCAAGGCCCTGTGATCAATGCCCAGTACCTGAGGGGGAAGGAAAAATGAGCTCGGTGTGGTGACACCAAGTTATAACCCCAGTGGGGAGTCAGAGACAGAAGGACCAAATTTTAGGCTGGCCTGGGCTACAAAGCAAGACTCTTGTTTCAAAACAACTACAGAAAGGGCTGGGGAACACAGCTTAGTAATCAAATTCTTATCTAGCATGCACAAGGCCCTAGGCACAATCCCAGTACTAAAGGAAAAAAAAAAAAAAAAAAAAGGAAGGAAATGAATTTATATGAGAAGGTGCTGTGTGAGCTGTGAACACACTGTTGAGTGAGATTTGGAAGCTTCTGGAAGAGAGTGGCTTGTGAGGGACTTGATCAGATGAGTATGTCCTAAAACCACATGGGCTGCTGCTCTGAATGTGGGGACAGCTGAGGTACTTCAGACAATCATAAAACAGAATGGCAAGACTGAAGACAAGCAGCTGCCAGGATGGCAAGAGCCAGGGCAGAAGGAGGATGCTGGGTGACTGACTGGCAGTCCTTGGCCACAAAGCATAGAATACAGAAAGAGACAGACCCAGGGAGGAATAAGGCTTTGTGTTTGGGAAGGAGCCATTCAGACAGTGTTAAGTGTCTCCTGGTCTGGAGCCAAAGAGTGTACATGGGGTTCAAGAGTGGGGAACATTCCTGTGTGTCATTTAAGCCGGGGAGTGACTTGGACTGTACATATAGCCTCCTGATACTATGTCCTTAGGACACTAAAAAAAAAAAAAAAAAAAAAAAAAAAAAAAAAAAGACAGGGCTGGTTTGTAGCATCTTGCTTTGAAGGTAGAGTAGAGTAAGGTTTTTGTATTTCTGTCAGAGACCAAGGGGGATGCTGAGTGCTGAAGGTAAAACCTTCCCTGGCCCCACTGCTTTCTAGGGGCTTTTCCTGTCTGTCTTTTGGGGAACCTCTAGATTGGATGCTACTTAACTAAAAGATCCCACTTTCCTCCAAATCATGGGTTGAACCTCTCGGTGTATTCTCACAGTTAGAATTCGGAGCTTGCCTTGCCTTGCCTTCCTTCCAGACCTCCAGCTTCTGTTTAGTTAGCTTTAGAGACAGGCAGGACATGTGGTATCCACATGGATAAGGGAAAACGGATACTACCACAGTCTCAGAGCACTTGTCTGTGGGCTCTGTAAGCTGTACTGTTCCCTCCAGCCTGGCATGCTTTCCTTTGTAAGTGATAGACCACCAAACTGTCCTGCCTGATTTTTCATCTATTTGTTTGTTTGTGGTACTGGGAATTGAACCTGGGACCATCTGCCTAGTGCTAGGCAAGTATTCTAACCACTGAACTCTATCTCCAAACTTGATTTTGACTTTTTTGAAGCAGGCTCTAACTGTGTAGCCTAGGCTGACTTCAAACTCATGAACCTCCTGAGTGCTGAGTGACTCAGCTCCTAGCTTGTTACACACTCTGAGACTGATTGTTTACTGATAGGTGAGTTTATTCTGAATAAAAACTGGTTTACTGTTCTAAGTGTAACTCATTGTCTGGGTCTCACCCAAGGCTGCTCTTCCCTCATCCCATCAGCCTTGCTTTGAATCACTTTGTTCCTGTTTTCTAGTTAGTTACCTTCTATCCTTCCCAGCAAGGCCCTTCTAGCATCCCTATCTTGGAAGCTTGTGGACCCTTAGAAGAATTGAGTTATGGGACATAATCCTGCCCCAGAGTTTTTTTTTTTTTTTTTTTTTTTTTTTTTTTTTTTTTGTCTTCATGCGCTCCATAAGCCTAGCCTCCAGCACAGCACGTGAGGGACACTGTCCTTTGTCAACAGCTCAGTATATCCCAGGCTTTTAAGCTTCTTGAAGCCTTCGAACTGGACTATGTCTTTGTTTTTCCCCTTTGTGGGTATGTATATGTGTATGTGAATTCCTGTGTGTGGA